GAAGACACAGAATCTTAAGTAGGCTCCAGGCTCTGAGCTGTTAGCACAGAGCCCGTCGCGGGGCTCAAACCCACAAACTGCAAGATCATGACCTGAGCCGAAGTCGGACGCCCAACAGACTGAGCCACCCAGGTGCCCTACAGATCAGTACTTTTTCTTCTGCAGCTTCTTCACCTCTCTTAGCCTTGATAAAATTTAAGAGAGTTAGGGCCTTGCTCTGGATTAGTCTTTGGCTTAAGGGAATGTTGTGGCTGGTTTGATCTGTCCAGACCTCTAAAACTTTCTCCATATCTGTAATAAGATTGTTTCACTTTCTTACCATTTGAGTGTTCACTGGAGTAGCACTTTTGCTTTCATTAAATACTTTTTCTTTGTATTCACAGCTTAGCTGACACAAGAGGCCTAGCTTTCAGCTTCTCGGCTTTTGACATGCCTTCCTCACCAAGCTTTTTCTAAAGTGTGAGACATGCACCTCTTCCTTTCACTTGAACCCTTAGAGGTTATTTCATGGTTTAATTTGGTCTAATTTCAATATTGTTGTGTCTGGTGGAATAGGGAGGCCCAAAGAGAGGGAGAGGGAAGGGGAAATGGCCAGTTAGTAGGGTCATCATAACAGCATTTTTCAATTAAGTTCACCATCTTATATGGACACTTTGTGTTGCCTCAAAACAATTACGGTAGTAACGTCAAAGATCACTGATCACCATAACAAATATAATAATGGAGGGACGCCTGGGTGGTTCAGCCGGTTGAGCGTCTGACTCCTGCTCAGGTCATGATCTCACTGCTTGTGAGTTCGAGCCCTGCGTTGGGCTCTGTGCTGACAGCTCGGAGCCTGGAGCCTGCTTCAGATTCTGTCTCCACCTGTCTGCCCCTCCCCTGATCGTTCTCTCTCTCTTTCTCTTTCTCTCTCTCTCTTAAATATAAAATAAAACATAAAAAAATTTATATATATATAATGGAAAAGTTTAAAATATTGAGAGAATACCAAAATGTGACATAGAGACACAAAGTGAGCAAATACTGTTGAAAAAAATGTTGATAAACTTGCTCTACACAGGGTTGCCCCAGACCTTCGATTCATAAAAAAAAACTCAGTATCTACAAAGTGCAGTAAAGCAAGGTGCAATAAACAAGGTATGCCTGTAGTCTCACTTAATTTATTTTTGCTTTTGTTGCCTTTGCTCTTGGTGTCAAATACAGAAAGTCATCGCTAAAACTGATGTCAGGAAACTTAACGCCTATGTTTTCTTCTAGAAGTTTTATGGTTTCTGGTCTTACATTCAAGTCTTTAATTAACTTTGAATTAATCAAATAGTAAATTAATTAATTTTGAATTCGTTTTTGTGTATGGTGTAAGAGAGTGGTCCAGTTTCATTCTTTTGCATGTGGCCGTCCAGTTTTCCCAGTATCATTTATTCTTTTTTTAATTTTTTTTTTTTAAGCTTATTTATTTTTGAGAGAGAGACAGAGACAGAGCATGAGCTGAGCAGGGGCAGAGAGAGAGGGAGACACATAATCTGAAGCAGGCTCCAGGCTCTGAGCTGTCAGCACAGAGCCCGACGCGGGGCTAGAACCCACGAACCATGAGATCATGACCTGAGCTGAAGTCCAGTGCTTAACCGACTGAGCCACCCAGGCTCCCCCCAGCATCATTTATTGAAGAGACTGTCCTTTTCCCTTGGATAGTCTTGCCTCCTTTGTCCTAAATTAATTAACCATAGGTTTATTTCTGGGCTCTGTTCTGTTCCACTGATCTGTGTGCCTTTATGCCAGTACCATAGTTTTGATTACTATAGCTTTGTAAATTAATTTTAAATCAGGGAGCCATGATGCTTCCAGCTTTGTTCGTGCTCAAGATTGCTTTGGCTCTTTGGGGTTTCTCATGGTTCCACACAAATTTTAGGATTGTTCTATTTCTGTGAAAAACGCCATTGGAATTTTTATAGGGATTGCCACAATAACTGATTTTTAAAGTTTTTACTATGTGCCATGTGTTGTTCTCACAGGATTGCTTGGTAACTTGATACCATTATCTTTATTTTGCAGATGGGGAAACTGGGGTTTAGAAAAGATAAGTAACTTTTCTAAGCTTAGACACAGTGGCTTCAGGATTTGAGCCTAAACTTGCCTAACCTGTGTTCTTAGCCTCTTCAGCTCCCTGCAAATAGGAATGATGCACCTGTCGTAACTGGTGCACCTACCACAACTGAACACCTCTGAAAAATTACCATTCAGTCTCTAGAACAGTGCTGTCCAGTAGGAATATAATGGGAGTCACAGGTGAAATTTTAAATTTTCTAAAAGTTATATTGGGAAGGTAAAAAGAAAAAGGTAAAATTAAGTTTTAAAACTATTCATTTAACCTAAGTTGTGCAAAGTATTTCAATTTGTAATCCGTATAAGCATTACTTAAAATATTTTACATTATTTTGTTTTCATACTAAGTTTGCAGTGTGATATTACACTCGCAGCACATGTCAATTCTCACTAGCCACATCTCAGGTATTCAGTAGTCACTTGTAAGTGATGGCTATCATGTTGGATAGCACAGCCCTAGACTGTGAGATGTGAAAATTATGGTGCCCTCTTGGTCTTACATTCTTCTTCCTCATTTGACAAGTATAAATTAGATCTAATTTTTAAAAAAAAAAAAAATTGTAGTAAAATACACCTAATATTTACCATTTTAACATCTTTAAGTGTACACAGTCCAATGGTATTTAATATACTCACGTTGTTGCACAACTGTCACCACCAATTCTATTCATCTTGTAAAACTGACAGTCTGTAAACCCATTCAGTAACTCCTCATTTTCCCCTCCCCCAGCCCCTGGCAACTTCTGTTAAACTTTCTGTCTTTATGATTTTGACTACTCTAAGTACTCGTATCAAAATGGAATCATATAGTATTTGTCTTTTTGTGACTAATGTATTTTATTTAGCATAATGTCCTCAAGATTCACCTATTTTAGCAGTTGTTGTATCATATTGCAGAATTTCCTTCCTCTTGAAAGCTGAATAATATTCCCTTGTACATATATATACTGCGTTTTATTTGCTCATCTCTGGATAGACACTTGGTTGCTTCTATCTTTTAGCTGTTGTGAACAATGGTACTATGAACATGGATATGCAAATCTCTCTTCAAGACCCTGCTTTCAGTTCTTTTGGTTATATACCCAGAGATGGAATTTGCTAGATCTTATGGTGATTCTATTTCTGATTTTTTGAGGAACCACTGTATTATTCTGCACAGCAGCTATGCCATTTTACATTCCCACCAGTCATGTGTAAGCATTCCAATTTCTCCACACCCTCCCCAGTACTTGTTTTCTGTTGTTTTGGTAGTAGCTATCCTAATGAGTGTGTGGTGGCATCTTGAAGTTTTGATTTGCATTTCCCTAGTGATTAATGATGTTGAGTGTCTTTTCAGGTGTCTGTTGGCCATTATATATCTTCTTCGGAGAAATACCCATTTGAGTCTTCTGCTCATTTTTGAATTGGGTTGTTTGTTTTGTTGTTGTTGAATTTCAGCTCTCTGTGTTTGGGATATTAATCCCTTACCAGATAAATGCTTTTTTTTAGAAAATTTTTTTCTTGTTAAGTAAACTTTACCCCATCGTGGTGCTTGAACTCACGACCCCAAGATCAGGAGTTGCATGCTCTACTGACTGAGCCAGTCAGGTACCCCCCCGCCCCCACTTTTTAGACAAATGATTTATAAATAGTTTTTTCCGTCCTGTGGGTTGCCTTTTCACTGTATGGAAGTATTTTTTGATGCACAAAATTTTTGACTTTTTATGAAGTCTGATTTTATTTTTTCTTCTTTCTTTGCCTTTGGTATCATATCCAGGAAATCATTGCCAAATCTAAGGTTATGAAGCTTTGTCCAGTGTTTGCTTCTGAGATTTTAAGTGTTTTAAGTCTTATATTTATTCCCCTGATTCATTTTGAGTTAATTTTTGTGTATAGTATTTGATAAGGGTCCAGCTTAATTTACTTGCATATGGATATTCAATTTTCCCAACATTTGTTGAAAGCTGCCTTTTTCCCACTGAATGACTGTGGCATCTTTGTCAAAAAACATTTGACCATGTATGTGAGGGTTTATTTCTGGGCTCTCTATTCTTTTCATTGCTATATATTATCTGACTTTATGCCAGTACCACATTATTTTGATTACTGTAGATTTGTTGTAAGTTTTGAAATCAGAAAGTGTGAGTCCTCCAGGTTTGGTCTCTTTTTCTTTTTTTGGTCAAGATTGTCTTGGCTACTTGAGGTAGTCCCTTGAGATTCTGTATGAATTTTAGGATTTCTGTTTCTGGAAAAACCATCATTGAGATTTTAATATGGATTCCATTGAAGCATTGAAGGATCTGAATTTTAATGTGGGAGTAAGCATTGTTTTTAGTCTCTCAATATGCATTTCTTTATTTTATTTTTTATTTTTAGTAGCTCTTTTAAGGTAAAGTGTGGCATACATGGAGATACACATCTCTCAATATGCATTTCAGGTTTACTGCTTACATTGCTTATTGGAAACTGTTCACGTAAAACAACAGTTATATTTTTAAGACTAAACCTGTTAAAGCCAGATTTTCTTATACTTAATCATCTCTTATCTAGTAGCGGATATCTGAACAACTCCTGAAATCTCACTTTTTAATTTTTCTTTGGGGTTAGATAGTCCTGGTTTTCAATTAGATACTATATTCATTGGTCTAAGAGGAAGATGTTGCCATCTTGGAAGATGCTATGCAGAGATTGGAAGAAGTGAGAGGGCTGGAACTATTCATTGTAGGCAGCCATGTCCTACAGCCTAGCCTGTTTGTTTCTCCTACTTAGAAGAATCAATCTTAGCAGTTATCACCACTTTTAGAAGCAATGAATCAGTCCCCTTTCTGAAATCTTTCTTGTTGGCATCAGAGTTAAAGCTCAGTAAGTTGCTATGGCTTTCCTGGGTGTTTTTAGACTCAAAATAAAATTTTCTCTTTCAGAATTTGGTGTTCACCTGGCAGAGCTGACCGTAGATCCCCAGGGAGCACTGGCAATCCGTCAGGTAAGTCCAGACTGATTGACCCAATTTGTAAGTAATTTCCCTTTTACTTGGTAATAAAACTTTCTTATTGGAAAGAGAAAGAATAAGGCCAATTTACAAATAACCTAGGATTTTGTACCAGATTTAGATATACTTCAAATGAATGTATTAGGCCGTCTGTATGTATATGATTTGTATATATGAAGAAAGTCTTTTTCTTGTTGTACTACTTGGCTTATTCTCTTCGCAGCTGGCATCAGTCATTTTGAAGCAATATGTGGAAACTCACTGGTGTGCCCAGTCAGAGAAGTTTAGGCCTCCTGAAACTACAGAAAGGGTAAGGAGAGTTACTTGATTAGTCCACCTGTAAGGAGTGAGAGGGCCATCTTAAGAGATTGAGCTGTCACCAATCTTTGACAACATGGGGCAATCAAAAGGCAGAAAAGGAGATTGATTGGTAGCTGGCATTATCGGCAACATACTGTAGGTAAGAGACCTGAGTATCAGGCTGACCTGTGTTCACATTGCAGTTCTGCCTTTTACTAGCCATGAGAATATTGGAAGAGTATTTTAACCTCTAAGCTTCAATTTCCTAAATATCTAAAATTAGAATTAGAAATCCAACTTCAAAGAGTTGTTTGAGGATTAAATGAACCAATGGTTCTACTTAGTACAGCACTATGCAACCATTCTGGGCCCCCAAGAAACTCTGAGGTACAAGGTCTAGGGTAGCACTGCCCATTGAAACTCTGTAGCTATGAAGATATTCTGTATCTGTGTTGTCTAGTACAGTAGCTACTGGCTACGTAGGGTGTTGAGCACTTAAAATGTGACTGCTGCAACTCAGGAAGTGAATTTTTTTATTGCATTTCATTTTCGTTTAAATTTAAAGGGCCACATGTAGCTGGTGGCTAACGTAATGGACCGCATAAGTTTAGAGATAATAGATGAACTCTCCAAATGAACAATTTGTCAAGTTTGTGTATTGGAATTTTTGATAGATATGCGATACCTCGTGTGCGTTGCTTTTTCAACACGTAAACTGGATGGGACTCTACCAGTCACTTATAACCTGGTCTAATGACAGGTGGGCTTTTCTCCTCTGCAGGCAAAAATTGTTATCCGGGAGCTATTGCCCAATGGGTTGAGAGAATCAATAAGTAAGGTGCGCTCCAGTGTGGCCTATGCGGTGTCAGCCATTGCCCACTGGGACTGGCCCGAAGCCTGGCCCCAGCTCTTCAACCTGCTCATGGAGATGTTGGTGAGCGGAGATTTAAATGCAGTCCATGGAGCCATGCGAGTGCTGACAGGTATTAGAAGCTATTCCCTGGTATTGGTACTTGGATCCCAAGAACACTTACAAGAGGTTACGTGACAGAATGGCTCTGACCAGTAAGAACTGAAATTTATAGCTCTACTTGATGCTCCTCCTCCCTCCTAGTTTTTATCCCCATGTCTATCTGTCCTCCTGCTCCCTTGACTCTTTCCAGGGAATCACGTGGTTTACTATTTCTACTACTATGAAACCTTAGCCCTTGAGGATAGAGTAATAGCATAGTAGTTGAGGATTCAGATTTCAGTTCATATTCTGGTTTTACCTTGACCCAAGTTACTTAGTCTCCTGAGAGTCAGTTTTCTTGTATATAAAATGAAGATAATAACAGTGTTTACCTCACACGGTCTTTTGGTAAGTTTAAATGAGCTAATAAATCCACATAAACTGTTTCGTGTAATAACTGACTTGGGGGGCACCTGGGTGGCTCAGTCGGTTAAGCGTCCGACTTCAGCTCAGGTCATGATCTCACAATCCGTGAGTTCAAGCCCCGTGTCAGGCTCTGTGCTGACAGCTCAGAGCCTGGAGCCTGCTTCGGATTCTGTGTCTCCCTCTCTCTCTGCCCCTCCCCTGCTCATGCTCTGTCTCAAAAATAAATAAAAACATTAAAAAAAAATTTAATAACTGACTTGGAAGTAGTAAGCACTCAGTAAATTTTAGCCATTATGATCATTGTCATTATTATACTCATTTTCTACTTAGTTCAACCAACGCAAAGTTAAGAATAGTCAAACAGCATTCTTTATAGGAATATAACAAAGAAGATAAAAACAATATATGATTCTGACTTTCACTTGGTCAGCTTAGACCAAGTGTTTGGTATCTTTTCTTTCTTTCTGTTCTAAGAAGGTGATAAAAATACTTGAAGAAAAATACTTTAATCCAAGCAGATTTGGTGGATATCTTGTCTAAGCTTGATTAATCTATTAATCCCTCACAGAAGGATATGGTCTCTCATACCATATAGGTATGGTAGGAGTTTCCCAGCTTTGCGAGTTCTTCTCTGGTTCCTGTCCCCCTAGAGGAAGTCACTACTCTATTTTGCCTTCAAGGAATCCTTTCCTGGACATTAGCAACCTTCTGTTGGTCTTTTGGAAATCATATTTCCCCTCTGCTCAGACAGGCTTGTGAAATGTCTGCCCATATCTTCTCTCTTTCTCTGTGACCTGCTAACTTACCGGAAATGTATTCTTACCTAGTTATGAATACCATTTCTACTTTTCTTGACTCTCAGTTTATTGAACGTGGCATCTAGTCCCAGTTTTACTAGTTCATGTTCTGTTCATGGTAAATAATAGCAATTCTCTGTCCAAAAGCAAATTCCTCATCCCCTTTTGTTTCAGACCTCCTCTTCCCACATCTTTGCTCCCTTTTTCAACTGCCCACTATATTCAAAACATTCCTCGCTCAGATTTTCACTTCCCTGCTTATTATTTCCCTTGCTTCTCTTGTACGACTCATTATTCAGGTGACTTCATATATACTCCTTTCCATGGAATTAACCTTCTAGGATTCTTTAAAACTTCATGGTGCCAGAATATCAGTTAACAGCTATGTTTTCTACTAAGAGAAAAAGGCATGTTCCCCTCCAGTCTTCCAACACAAAGTTCAGCTTTCTAAAAAATCTAGAGGAGAGAGGTGGTTGTACATTTATCATACTTGGGATACTGTAGAACCATCATTGTGCTTGACTAAGGAAATCACTGTTCAGTGAGATCACTTTTCTGTCAGCCACAGGGAAAGAACTATGCGGGAAATGTGTATTGTTTTCTATTGGAGTCAGCAGACATGAGATGATAGCTGCCAACCTCCATTCCCAAATAGCTGCTTCACGTATTTTCAAACAAGAATAGACTGTGTTCCAACAACAGCAACTCAGGCATGCGTAAAGACAGCAGGACATTGGTGTGTGAACAGGAGACCATAGGAAAATGGGACTGATTCTCTTCAGTGTTTTTTAAGATACTATACCAGTCTCAGGACACCTGGGTGCCTCAGTTGGTTAAACATCCAACTTCAGCTCAGATCATGATCTCGCAGTTCAGGATTTTGAGCCCCATGTTGGGCTGTCTGCTGTCAGCACAGAACCCGCTTCGGATCCTCTGTCTCCCTCTCTCTTTACCCCTCCCCTGCTCGCTCACACGCACGTGTGCACGTTCTCTGTCTCTGTCTTTCAAAAATAAAATTTAAAAAACATTAAAAAAAAAAGGTACTATACCAGTCTCCCTTTAATAAGCTTTCCATTAAGCTTATCTATTTTTAAATGAAAAGTAACTAACACTAATGGTGTAAAGGAAATGCAAACATAGCAGCTAAGGATTGAAATATTTGACCACAGGGGCACCTGGGTGGCTCAGTCGGTTAAGCATCCTACTTCAGTTCAGGTCATGATCTCGCAGTGAGTTTGAGCCCCACATCAGGCTCTGTGCTAACAGCTCAGAGCCTGGATCTTGCTTCAAATTCTGTGTCTTCTCTCTATGCCCCTCCCATGCTCATGCTCTTTCTCTGTCTCTCAATAATAAACAATTAAAAAAAAATTTTTTTAAATATATTTGACCACAGCTACAGCTTTTTCTTCAATCTCAAAGAAGTTTGGAGATTGAGATCTTCCCCGTGTCTTATCCCTTTTCTAACTTGCTGAGTGACCTCAGAAAACTTATTTGGGGAGCACCTGGGTGGCTCAGTCGGTTAAGCATCAGAATTTGACTCGGGTCATGATCTCACAGTTCGTGAGTTGGAGCCCCGCATCAGGCTCTGTGCTGACAGAAGCTGGAGCCTGCTTCAGATTCTGTGTCTCCCTCTCTGCCTCTAACCCACTCGCATTCTGTCTCTGTCTCTCTCAAAAATGAATGAACATTAAAAAAAAAAATTTTAAGTGTTAATTGAGACTACTAGGAATGATTTTATAGGAGAGCAAAAAATGTGATTAAGCAATTTATTAGTAGGATTAAGTTAAACTACATTTTCCATAAAATTTGTTTTCGTTAATCTGCTATTCATCACATTTGTTTGGACTAATTTCTTTGGATTTCTAAAGAAAATAGAACATTTATTTTATTCAGAGCTCAAAATTTATTCTTTAGGAGGAAACCAAGCTAGTAAAGAAGACTCAGTCTTGAATACATGATCTTCATATGACTTCTGGAGATTGATATTGCCCAAAATTTGGGGGGTATATTAACCTTGAAAGTGCCGACATGCATTTCTAGTTGCAGATTCTCCTGAAAAATGTCCCAGTTCACTAGCTCCATTTCTATAGTGATAATGGGGAATTGCCAGGAAAAGCAGCAGAAAAAGTGAACAAACACTGGAACCCTGGGGCTTGTATTTATTTCACATTTTTAGTAACATGAGACCCACGGGACCCCATGAGACCCCTTCATCCTTTCCCAGTGCCTTGTGCAGAAAGTGAAGAGAAAGACACAACCTCTATTTCTCTCACCTTCTTCAAGTCTCATTTCATATATAGGTTGCTTTTTGCCACATTCGTATGGTGGAAATCCTTTCTCTTCCAATGAGCAGCAACCTCTGGCTTCTAGGTCAATAAATGTCATTCACTGGGAAGAATAACATATACAGAGTGGAGTTGAAGCCTAGTAAGCCTGCATATGTTTTATTATGCGGATCAAAACAACTCACCAAGGGAGAGTATTAAAAATGGAACCAAAAAGGGATGCCTGGTTGGCTTAGTCGGTTGAGCATCCAACTTCGGCTCAGGTCATGATCTGACAGTCCGTGAGTTCAAGCCCCGCATCAGGCCCTGGGCTGACAGCTCACAGCCTGGAGCTGCTTCGGGTTCTGTGTCTCCCTCTCTCTCTGCCCCTCCTCCACTCGTGCTCTCTCTCACTCTCCAAAATGAATAAATGTTTAAAAAAAATTTTTTTTTAAAAATGGAATCAAATGTAAGGCACCTTAAAGTGCATCTGGATGTTGACGATCAGGTATAAATTAGACTAATACAGGATTTTCCTAAGGTGACCTTACAAGGACTTTTATGCAGCTCTTAGAGATTTTCTCTCAGTGTTTACATAAAGGTTTTTTTCTCAATCGTACGTATTTTCCTGTATCTTTGTGCTATTCTCTTTCCCTTTCTAACAAATAATAACTCTTGCTACTGTTCCTTCCCCAGAATAAGACCACCAGGCCTGTGTCTTTACCTGTATGCTATCTGCTTGGGAACTGCCACTTAGAAGCAGTGTGAAAATTTTCCCACTTCCATATTTATAAAGCAGTATTTTTTATAGTACTCCGTTTTTCTTTGTAGAATTCACTCGAGAAGTAACAGACACACAGATGCCACTTGTTGCTCCTGTCATCCTCCCAGAGATGTATAAGATCTTCACTATGGCCGAGGTATGCAATCTCAGCTCCAGGATCACAGCAAGTAAGAGCTGCTTAGGTTCTGGTCAGCCTCCACATCTCGTGTGGGAGACTGTTATATTTGCGGCGATCCCCACACCTAAAGACCAGAACGGGCAGAGATCTGAATCTGGGTTAACCTTAGAACCTTCACATATAACTGCAGGGGCCAGCCTTTGATAAGGGAGTGAGAGAGCTGCATTGTTTCTTCACATTATGATCTCATAGCTCCTGGCACCCTGCATCCCCTGAGCACCTAGTGCTTTGTGCTCCCTCTATCCTCTCGTTACGGCATCCTGCCTCGTTACGGCACCTCAGTCAACTGTGTGGAAGCAGTCTATCACTGCATTGCCCATAATAGGTTTATAATATACTGTATATGTGTTTGATTACCGTATATACAAATGGTGACTCATTCACAATAAACTATGAGTGCCCAGTGGGTAATGTTTTAACCTCCCTACTTCACTCTGCCCCCAGTCAAGGGTCTATCTTTTGAAAGAAATACGTTGACTGTGTTGAGATTTCAAGCAGTGCCAAGCCTAATATTTTTAATAAAATCAGACCACAGAGGCCTACATATATAGGCTAATTCCAGTGAATTCTAACGTTCTGCTGGCTTTTATTCTCTGAATTACAGAGAATATCCGTATCTGCTGGATATGAGTGGATGGTGTTTCCGATCTCTAGGAATCCAGTCCCATGTCAGATTGAGAAGTCCTAGTTTTTCTTCTGACCCCAGATATGCAAACATAGACACAGACATACCTATCTCAGGGCTCTGCTGTAACTTTTCCCAGGTGTATGGTATTCGAACCCGCTCCCGAGCTGTGGAGATTTTTACCACTTGTGCCCATATGATCTGTAACATGGAGGAATTGGAAAAGGTAAGGAAGCCTTTTGGTCACTAACAGACTTCATGCTTAAAAATCTTTATGCCTTCTGTTGGAGGCACAGCAGTGACTGATTTCATTTCAAGAGTACCAGAATGCATGCTAATTGTGGTTGCATTTAACATTTTGATTACATTTGTATATAATTTAGTTTCCTTTCATTTGAGCCTTATTTCTTCTGACACCTTATCCTGCATCTTTTCATATTAATCATCACCCAGAACTTGACTACTCTTTTATAGCCTTTTTTTTTGGTCTCACATGAGACAAAGCTAGCTGAAAAACACCAATCCCTGTCATTCCAAAGTAGTTTTGAAAAGTTGGTCTTGTACAATAACTTTTAAGAAGGCCGTGGTGAGGAACTGCAGGTGTTAGAGAAGGAAATATGAAATCTTGGGTAGCACTTCCAGTGACTTGATAGCTGTACTTTTCTGATTGGAACCTGAGCCCAGAGAATTCTTTCGATGCCTCAGATCTTGGTGTTTGATATGTGCATTGAAGCCATTGATTTATAAGTATGTTCAATATTGACTGGTTTGTTACCAGGGTGCAGCCAAAGTTCTGATCTTTCCTGTGGTGCAGCAGTTCACAGAGGCCTTTGTTCAGGCCCTCCAGATACCAGATGGCCCCACATCTGACAGTGGGTTTAAGATGGAAGTCCTAAAGGTAAATATTTACTACCGTTGAGGTACTTGGAGTTTTAGAGGATGGTCTGAAATCATTGGTTTTTCTCCTCCATCACTTGTAACTCTCAGGTGTTTTTTCTCTGTAATTTCTCAGGCAGTGACAGCCCTGGTGAAAAACTTCCCAAAGCACATGGTGTCCTCCATGCAACAGATTCTGCCTATTGTCTGGAACACCCTAACTGAGAGTGCAGCTTTATATCCTTTTCAGAAAGCTTGAGGGACCTGCTACCACCTGTAGTTGGGAATCTAGCACTGGGTCTTGCATTCATATGACTCCACTTTTTTAAATGACTTTTTTAAAGTATCTGCTCTTAGTGTTGGAATGTGTAACATTCTCTTGTAGAATATATGTAAAGCAGACTCCAAATTCTATTTCTTTACTCTTCATCATACTTATGTGAGGACAGAAGTAAATTACACAGAAGAAGTAGAAGATCCTGTGGATTCTGATGGTATGTAGTTTATCTGATCTTAACATATACACCACTCGGTGAGGAAAGGGCTCTAGGAAAGGAAAAAAGCCAGAGACAGATAATAGCGGTAACGTAGAGGCTTCACTCTCGTAAGTTAAGTTTTCTAGTTGAGTTTCCTTTCAGTGTATTAGATGTGGGGAAATGAGACATTGAAAATCTTTAATCTGTTCCTCAAAGGCATTTGCATAAATCTCATAAAATAGAATTTCTGATTTAGAAGAGATACCTTAAAGGCCATCTAAAGTCCAGCCTACTTCTTTGTGGCAGATGATATTTTCATTTCTGTTTTAATATTTTTTAAGTGTTTCAAATCAAAAATAGACATGCTGGAAGATATATTCAGTGTTTCTGATTCTTTTGCTTAAGAAACCAAAGAATCTTTGATATTCTCAAAGTTCCTTTCTTTGACTCCTTAGCGTCCCTCTTTGTTCCCTTGGGAATAAAAATTAGCAAGGACTGTAAATATTCATTAATTTACCAAGATAATGTAGTTCATTTCCAGCATACATGCTGTCCTTTTGTTTGCTTGTCATTAAAATCTTCTCTTGTGTATTTCCTGTAGGTGAAGTCCTGGGCTTTGAAAATCTCGTCTTTAGCATTTTTGAGTTTGTCCATGCTCTCCTAGAAAATAGCAAATTCAAAAGCACTGTTAAGAAAGCCTTGCCTGAGTTGATTTACTATATAATCCTGTACATGCAAATCACTGAGGAACAGGTAAATGATATTTGGGAGACAGTTACCAGCTTCTTTTTAGAAAGTGCAACTTGAATGTGAGATCTAGGTCAAGTGAACAGTTTTATTTCTAAAAATAGACACTAGAAGAATAACTTCATGTGAAGTTCTAGGAAAGCTTTTTTTTTTTTTTTTTTTT